TGAGTGGGTATAAAAATACTAGAAGGATAGGTGAAGCGTATGTGTTGGTTCAAATAGTTTAGGCTATATGCCTAAAACAATCTTTAAAAGGAAAGCGCATAGTAGATAGAGCATTGGATTTGCCATCAGAGGATATTGGCTCAAATCCAAACTCTGACCTTGGGTAAATCACTCTCTAGATCTTAAAGATTCTTTCAAGTTCAAAATTGATGATACTGTAAAAAAATATATATATATATGTATATGTGTACATATATACATATATATAATGTGTGTAAACTGAAAAATAATTGCATAAAACTCTAATATAAAATTTGCTTATTATGAAGTTTATTTTATGTTTCTTTTGAGTAAATTTTTGTTCATTTTTATCATTACCATTCCTCATCCTTGTTGCTTACATTATTGTTAGCTTATTTGATACAGGATTGTGCTCTGCACTTTGTACAAGCCATATACTTGGAGGCAGGGGAGGTTTGGCCACTATTTAGACTGGTAAGGCAGATGTTTAAATGAAAAAAAGCAACATATGTGTCACATATACTACCAGCACTGATTTGACACATCTGTGAGCTGTGTCTTTGCACCTAAATAGTTTTTTTCTAAAAGTATTCTTTGAACAGTGTCATGGATACAGATAGTTAAATCCCCTGGTGGTATAGAAAATAATCTTCATTACAATACTTGTGAGGTAATGTCATTATATGTGCCATTTTATACTTAAACTATGAGTTGAATTTAGTCTTTAATTTAGAGTAGAATCATTGAATTTAGGATTAATCAATCAGTAAGTATTAAGTAACTACTATGTGCTAGGCACACTCTGCTAGTCTCTGAATGCACAAATAAAGTGAATGAAGCTCCCTACTTGACAGGAAGCTTATGTTCTAATGGGAGAGATAACAAGTACATATAGAAACATATATACCATAAATATAATAAGAATATATTCAATTAAGTACAAAGTAGTAAACAATAAGATAGCTTGGGAGGGAGGGGGCTAGCTGTAGTGGAGTTCAAGGAAGGCTTTATGTAAAAGGTGGTGCTTGACCTGAAACTTGAAGGAAGAAAGAGATTCTGAGGCAACAGTAATATAAGAATCCTTACCAGGCGTGGGAGGTGGCTATTGCAAAGACATAAAGATACAAGATGAGTGTTATATGTGAGATCATCAGTGGAAAAATTTATACAACTTGTTGAACAAGTTGTTCTTGCTTAAAAAAACTCAAAAATAATTCTCAAAAAGGAACTTTTACAGACAGTTTTTGATATAGAAAGAGGACATCAAACTTTATAGTTCCACATTTGTGAGTTACCCTAAATATGGCATTTCCTTATTCATTTTCTTTTTAGCAGATTTCTGTAAGTGTATGCACATTCTTCCCTTAGATATAGAGTGCATTAGTGGGATAATGTGATCCAGGTTTACATGTGTATTGTGATGTTTTTATTACTTATGCATCCACCTTAATGTGTGGGTACCTGTGATATTATTTCTTTTACCTTATTGTTAACTAAATTATTATGTTTAAGATCTAAAAGTGTCATGATTGTAAGTGACTGTTTGTATAAATAGGAATGTATTGGTGAGGGCTCAAGTACTAGATTAATGAGTAGGAGGAGTGCTTCCCCTCAGCAGGATAACATCTAGGATCCTAGAGAATTACAATGTCACCACATGATGATCCAGACCTGCCAGCATGAGGGCAGGTTAAAGTGAGCAAACCAGCCCATAAAATGAGTAGGTCAATATGCCCCTATGAAAAGTGCAAGGTACTATACAGTGAGTGGCCACTCCACATACCCTAATTACACCGGGACTGGCTACATCTGTGAGGCACTGGCAGAGAGATGATAATTAAACCCTTGGGAGCTGATGAGTTCATCAAAAGAGAGCGTATAGAAAGAGAAGAGTATGAGGACTTAGAACCTTGGAGGACAACTCAGTTAGGATTCATGATATGGATGATGGACAAGCAAAGGAGACTGAAAAGGAAGGACCTAGACAGATAGAGGAGAGAACTGGGAGAAAGAATAGTGTCACAAAAACCCAGAAAGGAGAGAGTATCCAGGAGGAAAGGGTGGTACAAAATTCACCTTTCTGTTATTTCTACACAGTTTAGTTTTGTTCTCTGGAACCAAGCACAACAGTTTCATCCCTCTTAGACATGTTGTTTTCAGCCATGTCCGACTTTTTGTGACCTTTTGGGGTTTTCTTGGCAAAGATATGGGAGTGCTTTGCTGCTTCTTTCTCCAGCTCATTTTACAGATGAGGAAACTGAGGCAAACAGGTCTAAGTGACTTACCCAAGGTCACACAGCTACTAAGTGTCTGAGGCGAATTTGGACTCAGGTTTTCCTCACTCAAGGCCTAGCACTCTTACTGCTCCTTCAAAAAATGTAATACCACTCATATCCTTTCCCTCCAAAATTGTCTCTTTTCCAGTCTAAATATCTCTAGTTCTTTAAGCTCATATGCATATGCATATATATGTATATGTACACATTTGTGTGTATATATATCAATTGAGCATGTATCAGTTTATATGTATATGTATTGTATCATTATAGCATGATTTCCAGTCCTATTAACATTCTTATGACAATGCCTGGCCCATAATAGATACTTATTAATAAATGTTGATTGATTGATTCCGATCACTCTCCTTTAGATGAGTTTGATTTATAGTGTTTCTGGATTCTCTTCATCATGTACACCACCAATACCTAAGGTCAGACCTTTATTATGTTTTGCCAAGACTGTTACAGTGGCCCCCTTATTAGTAGTATCTCTTTCTCCAGTCTCCTACCACTCAGCACACACACACACACACACACACACACACACTCTTACATATGTGCTGCTACATCCCATATGACAGATTAATCTTAATCATATTGCTCCCTTTTCAATGTTTTTCTGTTGCCCACAAAGTAAAGAACAGGTTTCTTAGTTTGTTATCTAGCAATCTAGACCCAACTTTTCTATATCTCCCACTACTCATCTACATGAAATCTATGCTCAGTCTATCAAAACCTATCCTTTTTGTCATTCCCGAAACAAATCTTTCCACATCCTTGTAGTACTAACTCAAATGGCACCTTGTTTTTTCTATTTATTTATTTTTAGTTATCAACATTCTTTTTTATAAGATTTTGAGTTCCAGATTTTTCCCCCTTCCCATGACAGCATGCAGTTTGATATAGGTTAATACATATACATTCATATTAAACATATTTCCACATTAGTCATGTTGTGAAAGAAGAATCAGAACAAAAGGGAAAAACTATGAGAAGGGGAGGGGGGAAGAAAATAGTATACTTCGATCTACATTCAGACTCCATAGTTCTTTCTCTGGATGTGGATAGCATTTTCCATCATGAGTCTTTGGAATTTGTCTTAGATCATTGTATTGCTGAGAAGAGCTAAGTTTATCAGCGTTGATCATCACACAGTGTTGGTGTTACTGTGTACAATGTTCTTCTGGTTCTGCTCACTTCACTCAGTTCATGTGAGTTTTTCCAGGTTTTTCTGAAATTTGTCTGCTCATCATTTTTTATAGACCAATAGTATTCCATTACATTCATATACCACAGCTTGTTCAGCCATTCCTGAATTGATGGGCCTCCCCTCAATTTCTAATTCTTAGTCATCACAAAAAGAGCTGCTATAAATATTTTTGTACATGTGGGTCCTTTTCCCTTTTTTATGATCCCTTTGGGATATAGACCCTAGTAGTGGTATTGCTGGATCAAAGGGTATGCACAGTTTTATAGCAAATGGCACTTTGTTAATGAAGACTTCCTAATCTCCACAACCAGATATAATCCTTCCCTCTTCTTGACTCCTATTTTAAAAGATCTGGTTGTGCTACTCATATGACTGCCCTGTTAGTAGCTATTTTGTGTACAAGTCTAGTAGATTATAAATTACTTTAGGTCAGGGACTGTCTTAAAATTTTTTGTCTCATGATGTTGGCACCTAGCATCATGTCTTACACATAGCAGGCCACTCAATTGCTACTTGTTGAGTGAGTTAAAGAACTAATTTATATGTATAGTTGGGGCCAGATCATGTAGGGCCTTCAATGCTAGGCAGACGTGTTTAGACATTATGCATTAGACAGTAGGGGAGTCATTGATGGTTTAGAAGCAGATGAGTCACCTGATGAAAGCAAGAAGAAGAGTCTGGTAACAGCCTTTCAAAATTCTTCTTTATGAGGCCTGCCTTAGAATGAATTCTGTTTAGCAGAAACCAAAGGCCAGCCTTTTACAGAATGGATATATCAGGTTTCCCTTCTAAGTCCCTACTTTTCATTTTAAGATCATAGTTACATAGCTGGAAGGGGGACCTTAGAGGTCATCTAATCCAACTCCCTCCTTTTAAAGATGGAGAACCCAAGAAATTAAGTGACTTGCCAAAGGACCCACAGCTAGTAAAATAGAAGAGCCAGAATCTGAACCCACATGCTCTGACTCCAAAGCTAATGCTTTCCCCCCTACACTATGTTTTGAAAATTGATGTTAGGTATTTGCATTTGTGGGTAGTCTCATGATCAAAGATAATACTGATTTTACTTATTTGGTTCCTGGGGAAAGCATATCCCTATCAATCATTTTATGTACTGTTCTTTCTTTGTACTTATTGTGAGATAAAAATCCATAGACATTAAGTGTGGTAGCAAAAGTTGAGTTTAAATTCTAAATTGGAAAGAACCTTGACAGTTGTCATTGTGACCAATTTTTGAAAGAATTCTTTTGCCATAAGAAAAATCCTTTCATTTAGGTTCATATCAGCCTCATTACTTAATAGTTTAACTCCTCCTAAGGCAATTTGTATTTTACATGGAGTTAGCATTTTCTATCTGCACCACACAATCTGTATTTCCTGGTTAAAGTTTATCTATATTTGTCATGGGGCATACACTGCTTTGTGCTTGATATTGGCAGTTATGAGCTCATTCATTTAAAGTTGTGTTGTTGTTTTTTCGATTTCTCCAGGGATGTGAAGCACTGATTAAAAAGGACTTCCTCAAATACTCACTTTGCACTTTTGATCAGGTACCATGGACACCAAGGAAGAGAAGAAGGAACGGAGACAAGGCTATTTTGCTCGGTAAGCATGTGTTCTACACAATTATTTCAGTGATTGAAAAAAAATTGGTTGAGTGTACTTTGTCCTCCACTATTACTGGGTCTATCATATTTCAAAACTGTAATAAACACAGCAGGTAACTCACTAGGAGGAGTTAAATAAGTTTCCTTCAGTATTTTTTCTCACTTGCATTTGATTTCATCTCCTATTCTTTCTTGCCTTTGTCAAATTTTCCAGGCCTATTATCATTGTTACTTAGAGAATGCAGCTGTCATTGTGAATTGAACTGCAAATTGCTTTTGAATCTCACAGTTAGCTACCTACCTTGAATTTTAAGTTTTAAATGCCTGTCTCCTACTGTTCTGTAGCATAGTCGGTTAAGCTACTACTACAGTGCTGAAAATCTGTGACCTAATGGCTACTGTTTGTCAGCTCCAAGGGGTCTGTTATGACCATTTTCATAGATAGATGGAATGGCTGAAATCCTCACTATTGAAAAGCTTAACTTCTAATATACACTTGTTGGGTATATGCAGTTCAACAAGCATTTATTGAGTACGTGCTACATGTAAGGTATTGTGTGCTAGGTACTGGATGTACAAAGCAGAGCAAGCAAAGAGATTTTTATTTTGACGGATTTTTAAAAATTGATTTAAGGGTCTCCTCTTTATTTCATTTTAAACTTAATTATCCTTTAAATCAGAAGTGAAATGATGGATGATAATTAAACTGCTTAAGTTACAGCAGTATGCATCTCCAAAACACCCAATTAAGTAAACTTCCTTACTAGGAGAGTATGCCAGTGCTCTATCTTGGGCCCTCTTCCCTTTCCTCTCTACTTTTGCTTCCTGATTCTATTGGTTTAAGTATCTCTACATAGATACTACCAAATACAGATAGAGAGGTCTACTCCGTCTTCTGAACCCCAAGCCCACATTACCAGTAACCTGAGGGAAATCTCACTGTCAGGTTCAACATGTCCAAAACAGAACTAATTTTCCCCTAAAAACTTACCTACTTCTTTTTGTGGGTAGCTATGTCTTCCTAATCATCCAGGTTAGCAGCCTAGAATTGTTTTTGACTCCTACCTCTCCCACAGCCACCATAATCAATCCATTGCCAAGTCATAGGAATTCTACCTTGATAGCATTTCTTATTTGCCTCTGTGTCTTTCTATATACATAGCCACTACCCTACTTCAGCCCTCATTACTTCTCCCCTAGTCTGTTGTAATAGCTTCCTAAATGGTCTCTCTGTTTAGTATCTCTGCTCTCTTTGATTCATTCTCCATATAGCTACCAAATTAATCTTCTTAAAGCACAGACTTTACCAGTGTTACTCCCTCATTCAAAAATCTTCAATAGCTCCCTGTTGCCTCAAGGGTAAAATACAAGTTCCTCAGACTAGAATTTAAGTCACAAGTCTGACTCTAACCTAACTTTTCAGTTTAATATCATACTATTTACTCTTCTCTACTTTCCAACCAGACTAGACTATTAGCTATTATCTGATTAGAAACACAAACTAGCCTGTTAGCTAATCTGCTTCTGTACATTTTCATAGGCCCGTTCTGCAAGTCTGAAATATATTTCCCTACTCATTCTTCCCGCTCAGAATCCTTGTCTGCCTTAAAGACTCAGCCCTGTAGCCACTTTATCCATGAGCTAACACCTCCCCTTGTTATTGTTTGATCATTCTTCAAATTACCATGTATTATGGTTATATATATTATATACATGTTATGTCTATCATCACCCTGAATGAAATGTAAACTCCTCTTAAGGAAGAAGGCAGACTCTTATATTTATCTGTGTTTCCCCAGTGCCTAGCACATACTTTACATTTGGTTGGTAGTGAATAAATGCTTATTGAATTGAATTGAATACCATGTCTGTAAACTTCAACTCTGACTGTAGAACATCTCATACGATACTAAGTATAGTAAGAGGATAGTAAAAAATATGGAGAAGAGAGTTGTTAAATTTTGCCTACATGCCTTTCATTTAAAAAAAAAAAAAAAGCAATACAAATACCTCCCTAGTAGTGGTCCTAGGACATGAGGACAAAATAAAAATAGTCCTTATCAAAGCTACGAAAATAGTAAGTCAAGTGTGTAAACAGCAAGAAGATGATCTCAAAAAATAGAAAATGGATCATTTGACTACCATCGTGAAGTAAATCAGAAAAAAAAGGCAGGGGAGTGAGAAGTAAGAGCCATGAAAACCAGTTAAGAAGCCAGCTTCAAGACTGAAATGCTTTCTGATACATAAACTGAAATGAGCCTAAAGGGGAACTGTCAGCACACAACCAGTCTACTGGAAAGCTGCTCTCTGAAAGTACAGAAAGCCTTCTCTAGAACTGGCTGCCTGAGTGATAGAATGTAAAGTCAGGCCAAAGAGTAAGACCTACCTAATTCAAGCAATCACAATTTTCCCTTAGAATTATAAATTATAAACCCTCCTTCTTTAAACCAAGTTAGTATTAAAACCAGATCAATCTCTAAGATCTGGCCAGATACACTGCCTCTCCCCACAATCTTGATCTGAAACCACTGCAGGGATTTTTCTTTGCCTACGTAATCTGTAGACTATCTCATTCTATGACATGAAACCTTGATAACTCTGTAACGTCTCTACTCACTTCCCCAAGTAACCACTGTTTTTTGTTTTTTTGCAAACTAGTGTGGCATGTAGTTTAGTCAACACTGTATGACTGTGTATGGTAAATACTTTGTCTTTTTTGCTTCTCCTTTGCACTAATTCTAGTATCCAAAATTAAGCCCCTAAAGAAGTTTATTAACAATATTTTATTTAAATTTGATAGTAGGAGCAGCCTTGTTCAGCCTTCATGCTGGTTTAGAAATAGTCCTCAGTGTAGCAGGGAGAGGATTGTCATAGATAATTTGCACCCGTCCCTTGTCCTGTTCTGATACCTTGTTACATACAGTTTACCCAATTCATGGCACTTAATCTTCAACATCTTCAGGAAAGTAGGTGGTGTAGTAGATAGAGCACTGAGCTGGAGTCTAGAAGACCTGAGTTCATATCTTGCCTTAGACACTTACTATATGTGTGACCTTAGGCAAGTCTTTTAACCTTTGTTTGCCTCAGTGTTCTCAGTTGCAAAATGGGGATAATAATAAACCCTACCTCTCAGGGTTGTTGTGAGGAACAAGTGAGATATTTGTAAAGCACTTTGCACAGTGTTTGACCCATAATAAGTGCTATATTAATGCTAGCTGCTATCATTATTATTATTTTCAATGTACTTGTTTCTTATTACAAATTGGACAAATTGGTTGAATTATTACAAAACTATGATTGTATGCTTCTGATAGTCTCTGATTCTACTATAGGGATAGGACTAGGTCTCTGATTTCACTAGTGTAGGGAAATCTTAGGTGAAGGAATTCCCTCTTTCCATGCAAGTTGTCACCACCTCTGTAAATTATAGTCTTAGAAAGTTACCTAGAACTAGACCCTAGAGAGATCAAAGAAAGATGAAAAAATACTTACAATAGCTCTTTTTTTTTTTTTTTTGCAAAGGACTGAAAATTAAGGGGGTTTCCATTGGTTGGAGAGTGGTTCAACAAATCATATCATATGAATACAATGGAATATTATTGAACTATAAGAAATAACAAAAAGACAGTTTCAGAGAAACTACTGAATACTGAGAACTGAGCCAACTCAGATACAGAATGAAGTAGGCAGAACCAGGGGAACAACTTATACAATAACAGCAGCATTGTCAAGAAAAAGAACATTGAAAAATATGAAACTCTTATCAACACAATGACCAACCATGATTCCAGAGGATCATTGAAAAAGTCCACCTCTTGACAGAGAAGTGCTGGACTCAAGATGTAGAATGAGACATACATTTTTGGACTTGGCCAGTGTGGGAATTTGTTTTGCATATTGGTTGTATATTTCAATTTTTTTTTTAAGTTTGTATGGGAAATGGGAGAGAAAGGAAGGGTAGAAATAATTAGTCACCAAAAAACCAAGGAAAAGGAGAGGAAAAAAAAAGGTAATTGAAACATTTTTATAATGGACAGAAGAGAATAGAAGAAAATCTAGAAAGAATCTCAGACAATCAGAATTTTGAAAATTATATGCTAAATTTATTATATATTTTAAAAGATGTAAGCTGTAAAGAGACTCAGACTTTCACGTAGAATCTTCTTTTCATTATACTATGTGCATGGAAATGCTCATTTTATTTGTTGTTTGTTTAGTTTAGAAAAAAGAAACATGAAAAGAGAGATGCTCGGGCACTAAGAGGTTAAGTGATTTACCCAAAGTTACACAACTAGGATGTATGAGAGACAGGACTTGAATATAGGTCTCTAACTTTGAAGCCAGTTCTCTATCCACTATACCATGCCACCTTTCATGATCATACTATATTAATATTTTTTGGTTAAATACGCATTTGTAGGCTAGCTTGGCAATGTAGCTACCATAGATAACATTGTTTTTGTGTGAAAATGCTTTCAGAATTTCAAACCACTGACTTAACATCCAGATCTTTGGAATACAAACCATTTGTAATCTGGTAACTGCCTGTACTTTCATGATTACCAGCTCATTTAACTCAACATTCACGGGCTTCCATCAATGTTCAAACGAGGGCTACAAAGCACAGGCAGTCAGATTCTTTGTTTAGTCATAGTCTCCACTCTTGTCTAAAAGCAAAGTCTTGTAGTAGAAAGGAAGACTTGTAGAAAATAACTTTGCATTGCAAAGCATCAACTTGTTTTAAAAACTTGGAAAGACAATAACTAACTTTGCATTGCAAAGCATCAACTTGTTTTAAAAACTTGGAAAGACAATAACCAGAATAGGTTCATAAATCTGGACCTTGAAATCTCAGAAGTCATCTAGTCTGGTCTCACAATTTTTACAGAAGAAGAAACTAAGGCCCAAGAAGGCATAGTCCTCTTGACAATGTCACAGGGGTAACAAGTATCCAAGGTGGGATTTGAATGAAGGTCCTCATAGCTCTTTCCTTTGTAC